CTGATGCACCATTAGTGGCATGAGAAGTTTGTACTTTTTTCAGTAAAAACTAAAGGATTTTGTTAATGCCTTTGGCACATCAGGCTTGTAGCGCTAGACCTAATTGTTTTATAGACCCATTTTTTCACTCACTGGGTGATGTGGTCTCCATCACACACTCTCCTTGACTTCCCAGGACCTTACCTTGTACTCTTTTTATGCTGAGTTGGCCTTGGAGCCAAGATCAACTTGGAGGGTGGGGGAGGGGGGGGGGAACTCCACTTCTATGTGGATTTGAGCCCTAGACCTTCCAACTGCCCGGCGAGCATATAGCCGCTTTGCCACCATGGCTTCCCTTTATTTATTTTTACTGCTACATAATTTGTAAATAAATGTCCCCTTAGAAATATGTGAAAACTGTTGCCTACTTGTAGCATACTCTTTGTTTTTCATTTTAGTATGTTGTTGACACCATTACTGAGATGTCATTTTGTGGTTGCTTGATTTATTCTGTGTGTTGGTACTATGTATCTATGTTAGTTGTTTCATGCTGATTTATTTGTTATTAAATTATAGAAGTGTTCCTGATTCAACATTATAAACACCTTGTTTTTTGTTGTATTTGATTGACTTACCATGAAAGTTATTGAAAACCCATAACTGGAGAGAATGATGCAGCAGGGAGTGCCTGCGGGTTCACAAACCCCTCAGTCCTTCTTCTTCTGCCTTTCTAGCCCCCACTGGAGCATAGGCCTTCAACCAAATCACACTAAGTCCTTCTATCCTTCGCTGTCACATGCAGCTCTCCCCATCTTTCTAACTTCATTCTCCAGCTCCCTTTTCCATGTGCTGTTTGGCCTTCCTTTATTCCATTAGGGATTTTTTCATACCATTTAATTTCCTCTAGTCTGTGCAGGCATCAGTTAATAAATGTCTGTAGTCCCCCCCCCCCCCCCCCCCCCCCCCCCCCCCCCCCCCCCCCCCCCCCCCCCCCCCCCCCCCCCCACCCCCCCCCCACCCCACCCCCCCCCCCCGGTCCTGCAAAGTAAAATAGTATAGGACCCTTTTCCACTCCCTTAGGTGTATTGGGTAGATAGGGCTAGACCTATATTTTATAGACCGAATGGCACTTGGTGGGCTGGGTCGAACGGCACTCAAGGCTGGGTCGACATGGGAGTCAGTCATTTTCGAAAAAAAGTCTGGCCTCCATCAGGACCCGAAATCACCACCTTCCGATCCACTGGCAAGCATCTAGCGTCAAGACAGGTAACAGAAGTGTTTGTTTTCACAGTCCTCTAAACAAACCTACAAGTCTTCCTTTGCTGACTGACAGCAAGGTTGATTGACTAAGACTTGGTGTACTTGCAGCACCACAAGCCATGTCTGCAGCCTAGCATCAACCCAGATTCAGTGGGGAAAGGGGCGGGGAGTGTGATGATGGAAGGCAAGATGAGTAGTTAGCTAGATAACAGACACCATCAGTGTAGGGTCTCTTTAGGGGCTGGTTGATGGAGATGCTCAACACTCAAGGGAAAGGTGAGACGTTGTACAATCAGACAGTTACTGGTACCATCAGTGGGTGTATTTGTATGCATGTGTGTGTCATTATGTGTCTGTGTGCGTGGCTTTGTGTGCGTCTATTATATAATGTCTGTGTGTGCCTGTTGGTTTATGTGTCTGCATGTATGTCTGTGTGAGTGTTGCATATGTCTATGTGTGTCTTTGTGTTTCCCTGCCTGCGTGTGTTTATGTCTGTGGCTGCGCGTGTGTGTGGGTGTGTTGATTCATGCGCGAGCATGCGCATGTATTTTACCACCCATGCTTTTGTTTTAGACTTGATATTCATAATACGCATAATTTTACATGAACATAACATGCTTTATTGATGAAATACAACTGCTGTGTGAAAGATGGGAATTTGAAAGGGCAAATGTAAGACAGGCCTGCATGCCTAATTTGTGAACCTTTGAAAATAAAGTTTGTTCGTTCATTCGTTACTCATGTGACGCAGCCATGTTATCACATGAATCACTGCTCTGAATATGAAAACTAAACTTTATGGACAAAGGAATAAACTAATAAAGACTGAAATTCCTACAAAACAAAACAGAAACACAAAAACTAAACAGACAAAGAAACAAAAATATTGCAGATATAAGCAATTTATTTCAAATGAACAAATTTAGGAGAAATAGAAGCTGCACAGATGCAATCTTCACACTTAAACAGTTAATAGAAAAGAACATTAGATGCAGTAAAGCAAACCAAGTATTGGGACAGCTAGCCCCCCTCTTACAGCATAAGACAATCCCAATCAGCACAAAGAGACATCTAATTCAAAGCATATTTATTCCAACTCTGTGCTACCAGTGCCAGACATGGTCACTCACAACAAACCATAAAAGAAAATTAGTAACCACGGAAATGAGATGTCTGAGAAGGGCTGTAGGAGTGACCATAAGTGATAAGATCAGGAATTAGATCATAAGAGAAAAAGTCGGCACAGAACCAATTCTGGATTACATACGAAGACAGCAAGTGAAATAGTTTGCCCACTTAGAGAGAATGCCTTGTGACACCATACCATAAAAAGCATACATGGAAAGAAAAGAAGGACGTAGAGCACGAGGTAGACCAAGAACAAGATGGAAGGATAACATGAGAGAAACTCTACAACAGCACGATGTGCCTATGGTCGAGGCGGCCTGAAGAGCTAGAAACAGAACCTTATATCTCCCTCGACATCCACAGCGGTAAAAGAGGAAGTGAAGAAGAAGAACAACAAATGAAAGAAGAGTTGCTTTGAATTTACAGTTGGTCTTCTTCTGCTTCTTAGCAGTCACCAGCTGTAAACTCCAGCAGAAAGTTCTGGTTGTTCTTCAGCTTCTGAACTTGAGTCTTGTTTTGAGACTCAAGTGTTGTGTGCACATCCGTTTGACATACCTGGCTCATGTGTGTGCAGAATGTTAGTTCCTGGCCTCAATTCAAGGTGGAAGCTGTAACTAAAAATACTTCTAGACTTTGGTCCGTTCCGGAACTAGAGGTTGCACGTGCATCTCAGTTTTGGCTTTTTTGTATGCAGACTGTTGGTTCCTTGCTTCTCACGCAGCCACCTTCTGACTTCAAATTACTTAATCCTTAATTATACATGGTTGTTAGGGAGCAGTGGGTTTAGAAGCCACACAGAGATTACAGTTAGCATTAACAGAAAGATGAACATTGGGACTACCAGAGATAGATATTGACAGATACCATCAGGCCCACAATCAATTTATTCTTCTTCTTCGCCGTCCCCAGCTGTAAAACTCCAGCAGAAAATTCTGGTTGTTCATCCACTTCTGGACTTCAGTCTTGCTCCAGGTCTTGGGTGTTGTGTGCACATCTGATTTACATATCTGGCAGATCTGTGTTCAGAATGTTAGTTCCTTGCCTCTCAGGACAGATGTGCACTCTGACTTTGAAGGAAAGAGTTGAATTCATGCTGGATGTTATAACTGGTCACAGTATGTGGATTCAGGGATGCATAGGTAAATCATCACAGGTCAAGGCCTAGTTACTACTTACGTCTCATGCGTTAAGCCAAGACAAGTGGTCCCCTGACTGCATTCAACATTTCCTTTGAAGTATGAACATGTCTAAGAGGCCAGGAACCAACAGTGTGCACACAAATAAGCCCCATCTGTAAAACAGATTTGCAAGCAACACTTAAATCCTGGAACAAGACCAAAATACACTAGGTATGAACAAACGAAGACTTTCTTCCAAAGTTCACAGTGAATGCAGAAGAAGAAGAAAAAGAAGTACAGTGCAGACCTGATAAGGAGAACTCACCAGGAACCCAAGAAATAGTTCTTATCAGAAATTCCTCTTGTCAAGGTAAAAGTTCAAGCAAGAGAAATTGCTGAGAATAAACAAACTGTTCTTTACAACAGAAATTTGCCACATCCAAGATGGCCTTGAGTGGTCTGAACTGTATGCATTCCAGTAATTCTTGATTTTCCTGTCTTGTCTTTCTGTATCAGTCATCTTTCAATATGTATATTCATACACACACAAAATGACCTTGGCTCCCAGGTCGACCCAGCCTTAAATGTGTACCAGGTAAAGTTATAGGAAGTAAAGGTGTCCGGAGTGATGCTGCCCATTTCACCCACTGAATGCTGACTGGTGTAGCAAATAAAGGTCTAGCCCTATATACCCAAAATGCCTAAAAGCACGGAAAGGAGTCTTGTTTACTTTTACTGACATAATTTTGATCAATGCTGTCTTCTAAAATAAACTATCAAGCACGAGCATGTTTAATGTAAATGAATTTTTACAAATGTATCCACTGCTAACTATGAGAATATTACATGGGAGGCTTCCAGGGTGAAACTCTCATACCACTGAAAGCCATGGGAATGGTATTTGTCTAAGCAACCCATCACCAATTCTTGTGGCAGGAATTAAATCCTAATAAATGTCGCACCAGCAAGGAAATCAAAATTAAAATTTTTAGAGCATACATCTTCCCTGTGGCTACATACAGATGTGAGTCGTGGACTATCTCCCAGTCCTTAAGAAAGAGAATAGGGGCTTTTGAGCTGAAATGATACAGAAAGATTCTCAGAATACCATGGACAAAGAAGAGAAGAAATGCTGACATTTTAAAAGATCTAAACACCAAGGAAGATTGGCTAATAAACAGCATCCTGTCCCAGAAGTTGAAATATTTTGGTCATATCAAGTGCCATGGCGGACTGGAAAAAATAATAGCAGAAGGCATGGTACCAGGAAAGAGGGACAGGGGCCGACCAACACAAAGATGGACAGAGGATATAAGTGACTCCTTTAATATGGAAGAGCATGAGGCAGGAGAGCTGGTGAGAGACCGAGTTTCTTTCAGGAAGACAGTGATGAGAGCGAAATTCTGCAAAGGGTCTGCTACATGAAAATGAAATGTCGCAGATTGTGTTGTGAAATGATTTAACTAACTTCCGTGTCACAGAGTCAAAAGTAAATGAGACGGGTGTCAAGACTTTTCAGACAGCATCAGCAGAGTGTTGAACATCAGGATCACCAGGGGCAGACAGGGTGACCGATTCTGTGAGGTTGACCAAGTGGTTGTTGACAGTTGTGTCCAAACATGTGGTAGCTAGACTCATCCCTGAATCAACATAACTGACTACAACTGAGGTGGATGCACCCGATGCTTCTGCTAGATTCACTGGATTTGTCTCTGATGCGGATGTCACATTTGCACTTGAGTTGGCAGATGTGGTTGGGGCAACTGTGGATACGGATGCCGTGGTTGGCAATGAGGCAAAAGGTTGGCTAGAATGTATAGTGGTAATACCAGCAGTTGGTGTGTATTCCTTGTCCAGGTTTGAGCTTATGCTTGGAGCAGTAACTACTGAACTTGTAACAGTAACATTTGAAGACATAGCCGGTGCGGGCGTACTAGCTCTGGCAAAACTGTTGTTAAAAGATGAAGATGATACGGAAATTATCTTTGACTGTGTTGATACAGCAGACGTATCATCTATGGAGACCCCGCTTTCAATTTGACCTACAGCTGTTGTGAACTGTCCTGCCAAGCTGAAAGATATTCCGTGTGAAGAATTTGTAGAAGTACTTGACAGCAGATCAGATATTTCTGGTGCTCTCAGCTCAGAGGTTGAAATCTGTGTTGTAGTGTTCGGCTGGGGTATCATTTTTCTTGCTGCAGGCACAGACGTCATAGAAGGACTTTTGCTCAGAAGTGGGCTCGAAGAGAATGAGTTAACGTCTCTGCCAAATCTGGGTGATGATGCAGAGCTAGTCTGAGGAGCCGATTTTAATGTGGCTCCAATGGGTGTGACATTTTTAGGGCTGCCAGAGCCAAAGTTGAGCAGCCTTGGTCTTACTGGAGTACTTGAAGGAGAACCTTTCGCTTTACGGGCCTCACGCTCAGCAGCTCTCTGCAGCTGTTGCTTTTGTAGTGATTTCATAATGTTGTCCATTCTGGCAACTCTCTTCTCAGTTTTTGGAGTACGACCTACACCACCTGCAATGTAATATGTGTGTGAGTGTATATAAATATATATAAATACATTAAAATACCAATAAAAATTATGAAGAATTACAACAACAATCTTATGCACAAGGATACCAAGATTAAAGTTGATAAACTATAGTCAGATAGGATACCAAGATTAAAGTTGATAAACTATAGTCAGATAGGATACCAAGATTAAAGTTGATAAACTATAGTCAGATTCTAATTTCTGCTCAAAGGCATACAGAATGATGCTGTTACCCATGAGTTTCATTCTGGGATGTACTAGAGCAGCACTCTCAAACCTGGTGGGGAGAGGTTGGAGGGCATGAGAAGCAGGAGTAGGTTTCAAGAGAGGTGTCAAGCCCTGAGTTGAGGTGAGTTTCAAGACCTGACACCATAGTACTGCTTGCTTTTTGTACCCCACTAGGACATCACACAGAGAGATAAACACCCAGTGACACAAAGTGTCACCATGCGGATAAGGATCACCTCTGGAGAGGTCCCAGAAACCCCTTTCAGTCGTTATGGCCACAATTGTGGCCCAACTATATTTAGGGCCCCCGGCAAAAGCCAAGGTGGGGCTTTAAATAATGAAAAATGTCATCCCACATGGGAACGACTTGGATATAATCATAGTATTTAGGTGTGCCAGGTAATGAACAGGCTGATATTCTGGCTGCTGCCACTCCTCTGGGCCGTGAGCTACCATATAAGTTGATGCAGTGAAGCTTTTATGGGATCAAATTGACAGTGCAATAGAACAGATAGATTCATACACTGAAAGACTAATTCAACGGAGGGGAGCTGGGGTGGGGGGGGGGGGGGGTGGTGAGAAAAGTTCTGGAAGATATTCAACATTGGCGGGGAAACAGAGCGGAACTTTAATTAGACTGTAACTATTAGAATTATGTCGGCTCTTCATTGGTCACTGAAGGAGGGAAGGAGCACGTGCAGGAATGTCACGAGTACAGTTCTTGATTCATTCATTCATTATGTATTTTTGGCATAAATATAATGTACATACATTAATTGTTTGTGTGTATGCATGCATGCGCGCGTGTGTGTGTGTGTGTGTGTGTGTGTCATGACCAATTTTTTTTTAGTGCTGCCAAGGTGGAATGGTTAAGGGCAAATGCAAAAGAAGAATCAGAAAGCATAGTTATTGGAAGAAGAGGCATGGCTGAATGCTGAATTAACAATCAACAGCACTAGGACACTCCCATAAGTGCTCAGTCCCCATCTTCAGCAGCAAGCGAAAAGTTCCAATTCCGATGGTACCAGTAACCATCTGATTGTATATCCATCTCATCCTTCCCTTCAGTGTTGGCCAGATCCGCTGGTAACTCCTCATAGCTCCATACTCCTTAAACTGTAATGATCAACTGTCCCTCCTCACTGTTTACTCTGGTTTTTTTATTATTTATTTATATTCATAGTATGCACATTATCATATGAATACAACATGCTTATTGGTCAAATACAGCTACAGTCTGAAAGATGGGTGATTGGAAGGGCTGAATGTAAGACGGGCCTGGGTGCCCAATTTGTGACCCTTTGAAAATAAAGTTTGTTCGTTCGTTTGTTCACTCGCTCCCAAAGGGCCCTCATAATATCTAACTTGTCATACATCAATTCACCACCAAGTGGTGCAGAGCCAGCCAGTCTATCTGCCTGCTCATTTCCCAACACACCAGCATTGCCTGGAGAAAATATCCAAAGGAATGCCAACTACCCGGGACCTTTGAAGTGATGCTTGCCACTCTGCATGAAACATGTCTGTTTTCACCTTTCTCAACATGCCCTGTGCATCAGTTAAATTGCTGCATGTGTACAAATAATTCTCAAGCCAGCGGAAAGCAGCAGAGACTGCCTCCACCTCCATTCTCAAACTAAACGTTGTGATATCATATGCAGAAGAACAGGCAGGAGTTAACCAGTATGTTGCCAAACATAGGGTACTAGAGATACAAGGGCACAGAAATATGTATGGAAACTAGCAAGAAACCAAAAGACATTCTACAGGGTCAAGATGGAATTAGTCATGATCTGCTACATGATAATGATAGCGATGATCTTTTTCTGCTTCATTTGCCCGTTGAAAGATGTTTTCAAGACATCTTGTGTTCACCCAATCCTGCTGTATGGTGCAGAAACCTGGACGCACTGAGTCCCTGGAGATGTGGGTATACAGGAGAATAGGTCATACTTCATGGAAACAAAAACAGTCCAACACAGAGGTTCTGGAAAGACTACAAATGAAAAGAGAACAACTGAAAGTAATAAAAAAGATTCAATGGAAATACTCTGGCCACATTAAAAGACATAACACGCTTTTAAAAACCCATACTGGAGGAAAAGGTCAAAGGCAAGAGAGCAAGAGGTGGATGGGAGGACAAAATCAAGAGATGGACAGGCAGCAGTCTGAGAGAGTCTATAACCAGGACAACAGACAGGAAATGTTGGAGATCCACTGAGGCAACCTTCACCGTGGAGACCGTAACTGGCTGACTCATTGTGGTTTTCAACGATGCTGTGCTATCTGTGCCTCTCAGCCCAACATGTCTGATTTTACCAACATGTCTGATTTTACCAACATGTCTGATTTTACCAACATGTCTAATTTCACCAACATGTCTGATTTTACCAACATGTCTGATTTTACCAACATGTCTAATTTCACCAACATGTCTGATTTCACCAACATGTCTAATTTCACCAACATGTCTGTTTTCACCAACATGTCTGATTTCACCAACATGTCTAATTTCACCAACATGTCTGATTTCACCAACATGTCTAATTTCACCAACATGTCTGATTTTACTAACATGTCTGATTTCACCAACATGTCTAATTTCACCAACATGTCTGATTTTACCAACATGTCTAATTTCACCAACATGTCTGATTTCACCAACAAGTCTGTTTTACCAACATGTCTGATTTTACCAACATGTCTGATTTTACCAACATGTCTGATTTCACCAACATGTCTGATTTCACCAACATGTCTGATTTCACCAACATGTCTGATTTCACCAACATGTCTGATTTTACCAACATGTCTGATTTCACCAACATGTCTGATTTCACCAACATGTCTGATTTCACCAACATGTCTGATTTCACCAACATGTCTGATTTCACCAACATGTCTGATTTCACCAACTTCTTAATTAGTCACCTTTTACAACATGCTTGTTAAGAAGCACTGAGTTTGTTCCCCCACCCCCCGACTTTCATCCCCAAATGGAGGTCCAAGAATCCCCCAGGAAATCCTGATGATGTCAAGCTAAGTAATCTTTACCTGGGGCTCTTTTAGGGATGAGCTTGACGTTCACATCACCAAACGGTTCATCAAAGTCAAAAGCACTGACTTCAGGAGCCCTGTGGATTGTACAGAAACAGAATATGCTTAGCATGTGATAGATAAGCATGGAATATGATGGCTACAAACTCTGATTTCTCAAGTAACACCACTGCTGGGAGAAAATCAAAACAAAGCTCAAACAACAAGTGATCTGCCAACAACAACAAAACTGACTGACTTTCTACCCCACCAGGACATCACACAAGCGATAAACACCCGATGACACAAAGTGCCACCATGTGGATGAGGATCGCCGTGGAGAGGTCCCAGAAACCGCGTTCAGACAACTGGCCATATTTATGGCCTGCCTCTATTGCGGCCCCTGGCAAAAGCCAGGGTGGGGCTTCAAATAACAAAAAATTTCGTCCTAAAAAAAGGACGAAACTGGATTACAATATAACAACAACAAAACTGCCAAATACTGCCTTTATATACCACTTCTGTGGTGTAGGCGGGGGGAGGGGTGTGCAGGTCTTTTCAGCCTGAGGATTTAAAGCCGCAACAAGTGATCAAGTGTATATTTTTCACTAGGGCTAGACTTGGTTCTCAAGTCTGATGACCTGATGTTGTGTTTTCTGGAGCCCCAAGAAGGATTTGCATCTACTGGGGTGAGGCTTGTGTGGAAACTCCTGCTTACCTGGCACCGAAGTATCTCGTCCTTGGGAAATAAGTTGCAAAACAGTCCGTCCACTCTCCTGTCTTAGTAAAATCAGATATACAAAACCACTACAGCTGCTTCACATGTGTGGTGAGGCACTGCATACCCTGGACCATGAGCTAGGCTGTGGACACAGGTTTGTGGACAGATACCATGCAGCGGGGATCCATACACACTAAGTACTGGTCCTAAAACTTCTGCTGCCAATCTGCTAAGAAAGACTTACCATTTGGAAAACCATCTCCTTTATAATTCAAGTGTTTTGAGCCCAGCAAGTAACAGTGTTCGGCATACTTTTTTCTTTCTAAATAATATTATTCTTACTATCATTTAATTGTATGGTTTTATTTCAATTTATTCTATCAGTTATTGTTATTATTTATGGATCATTAGTATTTTTATTCCTACTACTTATATTGTCGGTGTCTGTGGCTTAGGTGTTACGAACGCGCTTCGTAATGCCAGGGTGCCTGGATCGATCCCAGCTGTGCGCCTTGCATTGGTTTCGACAGTGGTATTGAGAAACCGATCGTCCAGAAAGCAATGGCAAACTACTGGACGTAAATTTGACTAGAAAAACCACAACAGACAAAAAATGCTGGGGTTGGTTCTGCAATGTCCTGTAAAGAATATGCAACGAACTAAAACTCCATTTATTTTATTCATTTCACACCTTTTTCCGTTCCTATATTTTATAGTTATTTATGTGAACCCCTCTGTGGGAACTGGTGGCAATTATACCCTGCCCCCCCCCCCTCCCCCACTGCTGTTGTATTCTGTGTCAAAAAAGACAGAATGAAAGGTCGACCCCCCCCCCCTCCACAATTAAGCTATATGATCAGAATGCGGTGGATTATTATCTTAGCACTTGTACGCAGCATTTGTATGCCACATTTGTACGACTGTTTTGAGGACTCCAATCAATTCTGTACACTGTCTTTACTGTGTACATTTACCACTTTTAGAGTGGTGCAGGATGCAGGGTTTGTTAGCCGAAGCATTCAAGGCCACATAGCTAATGCAGCTGTCATGACCTGTGGATGAATTTTTGCTCCAACAGAGAAAACCTTTAAAACACAATAACCATTTTTTAATTAAAAACCAAAATTTAAAATTAAAGTTTAAAAAATGTACTGACTTGAGATCTTCCTTCCATGAATCATTACCACTTTCATCCATTTCATCTTCATTGTTTTTCTCTGACTGGACATCCTTCTCTGGGGGCCGGCGTCCTGGACATGTCCACTTCAGGGGGAGTGGATTTCCCTGTGCCAGCTTCTCAAACAAGGACAGAATGTCCTCAGGTTTGGGTTGCCACATACCTGATTATGACATGAGACCACAAATGTAGGAACAGTTTGCTTGTAAAGTAAAGGACCCTTTTCTGCACCATTAGGCGTACTAGGCATATAGTGTAAGGCTTATTTTATAGACCGATCAGCTCTTGGTGGGTTATGTGAACATCATGCCAGTCACCTTTACATCCCAGGACTTTACCTGGTACCCATTCATGGCTGAGTCGACCTGGGAGCTAAAGTCATTTTGTTTTTAAAAGTCCGGCTCCATTCAAGTTTGAACCCCAGACCACTGGATCAGCAGACAAGCATTTAGCCACTACACCACGGTGGCTTTCCCCTGCTTCCTTGCCCTCAGGCGTATTTGACATATGGTGTTAGCTCCATATTTTTTTACGAACAATCAGCACTTAATGGGTGATTTACTCAATATCAATCACTGAAACTAGTGGTTCCATTTGGTGGTCTTGGGAACTTCTTCTTCGCATTCACCGGCTGTAAACTCCAGCGGAAGTTCTGGTTGTTCATCCACTTCTAGACTTTTAGATTTTTCAAGAACCTGAGTGTTGCATGCATATCCGTTTTACATATCTCATTTATTTGTATGCAGACTGTTGATTCCTTGCCTCTCAGACAGTTTCACTTCGACTTTGAAGGGAACCCCCAATTAGTTGACTCCTATGACATGCTTGTTGGGGAGGCAGTGGGCCGATTCTTGTTTTCCCCCAGAGTGGAGCTCCAGAACCACACGGAGAGGTCCAGGAAACAAATTAAAATTCTTTCAATACCAGGGTTCCCAGGAACATGACCCAAAGGGAACAACTTTTTTTCTTTCTTCTGTCCATTTTCTGCTTTGTGCCGCAGATTAACAGATGATTCGTTTCTGAGTTTGAGCACGCTCGGCTGCCTGGTATGATGTTGTGGAGTCTCAAGGTGTCAGTGACTCCTTCAATCTATCTTCTTCTTGGTCATCTCCTACTCTTGGTGTTTCTACTTTCTGTTGTACGCTCTAATTTCTGGCACCACTCCACTCATTCTCATTTAATGGCCAAACCATTTCAGTGACTAACAAATGAAACAGGATCCGTTTTTATTTTTTAAATGGCAACATTTGATGTGCTGCATATTAAAATATTTAGCCAGATTTCTTTTGTATATGGAGACCAAATAAAAATGAAATAACTTCATACCATCTTATGGCTGACACACTCAGACGATAGCTGATCACGCACACTATATTTCTTGGAACAAAAAAAGGGTTAAGGGGTCTGTGATATCATTTGGGGGGAATCCTCAAGCCTTTTTCTTTTGCAATTCTAATACAGATTTCATCACCATCATCCCTGTCCCGTAACATTATGTGTCACTGGGTCACCAGTTGTCGATGACTGCCCAATCAGCTTCCTCCACCTCTGTCAGTCAGATGCAGTGGACTTCATAGATAGCTGCATGCCTAAGACCTGTCAAAGCAATCAAGTTCTGTATACAAGTCTTTCTTGGTGTGCGTATTCTCCTCTACTGAGCCCTGTAGTACTGGTTTTTTGTTGTTGTTGTTGAGAGGCCACTAGATTTAATTACATGTCTATTTTATTTAACTTTCTGTCTTTCTACTGAAGTTAAAAAAGGTTCATAGTAGCCAATGTGTTGATTAATTATACAGCGAACCTGCAATGGCAAACTGTATGATATACAAAGAATATTTCTTTTCCATTGCTTGTATCTTTTTTTGTTTTTTTGTTCAGCTGTTAAGGTCCACGTTTCACAGCCACATGTAAACGTACTAACAGTTCTCTGAGTGCTCCATAGCAGACCTTGGCTATCTTCTGAATAATGGTCCCTAATTATCGAGGTAGAAAATATCCCAACAGTGCCTCAGTTACGTGTCAACTGTGCACTTCCTGGGACTATACTGCCACCGCCGAATAGCGAATTTCCAGGGACTATACCGCCAAGTTTTCCCCACACGGCGTGGAATGGGGATAAACTAGATGGCTGGGACTCACGAGCAAATAAAATAAAGGCAGCTACAGGAAATGCAGTAGCTGCTGCTCGTGAGTCCCAGCCATCTAGTTTAGCCCCAATCCACGCAGCACGAGCAGCATGGGAGATACTCTCAGCGGTGGCGGAAGTGCGTAATTTAAGTCACCGGAAGTGCGCAATTGACACGTGACTGAGGCCCTGTTAGGGTATATTTTCTGCCTCGATAATTTGGGACCGTTATCTGGAAGATAGCCCAGACCTTTAACAATAAGAGGAAGTACATGGGTACTCCCTCTTCATGGGTATAATTTGGAACTGCTGATTTAAACAGCAAGACAGATCATATATTACCATTTAATACCTTATGTAGCTAAGGAAGGTATTATAATGCAGAGCTATTTTGTTTCAACATGCAGATGTAAGAGTAAGGGAAACAAAGAATCCTTTTCTCTTCCTTCTTTGCGGTTACAAGTTCTTACTCTAGCAGAAAGTTATGGCCTGTTTATCCACCCCTAAACTTTAGACTTTTCCTTGAACCTGACTGTAGCGTGCACATCTGTTTTACAGATCTATCTTATTTTTTTTGCACACTGTTGGTCTAAGGAAGACCTGGCTCTCCTTTGAATCAACCCCCAAAATGGCGGCTTTAATATGATGGCGTTCGAAAGAGAGCTAAATTGGCCAATTTCTTGCCATAAAATATCCAAATGCGGGACAGTTCTATTAAAAATGTATGTGCCGGCTCCGGATAATGAAACAAATGCTCTGATAAGGTCTCGGCGATACGTTACTTGCCGACCTGCTTTTGCGAGTGTGCCTCATCGCTGAGCGTATCCCCCGCGCCGCTTAGCTAAACGATGGCTGGGACTCAGGAGCGGCAGCTACCGCATCTCCTGCAACTTCCTCCTATTACTGTACTCGTGAGTCCCAGGCACCTAGTTTAGTCCCCATCCGCGCATAGCGCGCGGGATATGCTCGGGGGTGAGGCAGACTCGCAGAAGCAGGTCGGCAAGTAACGTATCGCCGAGACTCTGTCAGAGCATTTGTATCGTCTGCAGAAACGCTCAAAATTATCGTCTGCTCCTATCGTCTGCTGCTACTATCGTCTGCTGAAACTGTCGGTATTTATCGTCTGCTACTACTACCGTGTGCAATGTTCATATTGTCAAGTAATCCTAGTTTTGCCGCGATTTGTTCCTTGGCAGAAAGTCCGTATTTTAGATATACGCAAACACCGTCGTTTGGATATTTTTGGATATGTTATGGCCAGAATGTTGCATGCCGCCATTTTGGGGGTTGATTCAAAGGAGAGCCGAACGACGTCAATAAGTCGACTCATACGTCATGCTTCTGTGAGGATGCAGTAGGTCCATTCTTGTTTTCCCCAATAATAGCTGTGTCGTACTGTTAACGGAGTTTCTGAGACTTTCTTTACCTTTATTGTACCTGTGGGCTGTAAATTAATAATAATATTACTAATAATAACAAATAAACCCAAGGACAGCCATCATCCCGGAGTTGTGAGTAACTGGTGACCGGAACAAACAAACACAAGTTGAAGTTGTATACAACCACCACCTACCTTTCTCATCGCTAAAATTATATTTTGCTTCATCGTGTTCTTTTACTATCCACGCGGCATCTGTTTCACCTCTGTAAGCTCCAGACATCATATTAAATAAGTTGTTAGTGTTGAAAATGATGTGGTAACAATCTATTGCTTATCTAAACTGGGCGCTATAAAAGAACCAACATTTAGAAAGTTAGGAATGACCTCCCCTTCACTAATTGTTTCCCTTGAATGTATGTTAGGGTTCTCTAAATAATTGAAAGCAACTCATCGTGTGGGGGAAACGAGAATAAAACCTCAACAAGCATGTCGTAGGAGTCGACTAATTTGGGACTTCCTTCGAAGTCCTAGAGTATCTGCCCGTGGGGCAAGGAACAACCAACCGTACACAAATAAGCCAGGAAAAGGGACGTACAGGCAAAACTCAGGCCCCCGCTACAAAGGCAAAGTTTAAACAGACAAACAACCAAGATTTTTCGCCAGAGCTTACAGTCGATGAACAAAGAAAAAGCAGAAGAACTCCCTCTCCTCCTCAAAAAAAAAACTTTTAAGGGGGCTGACCCATCCCCCCCCCCCTTTTTTTTTTTTTAAATGTGGCTTTTAACATCAATCCAACTACTATACTTGAAATTACTCCAACTAGAATAATCAGTGATACCAGCATTTCTCAAAAACCGTATACTGTTGTGCCTGGTATGCCGCGTAGCATTTATACTACTATATGATCGATTTTCCAAATAGTAAAATTAACAGGGAAACTGCGTGGTCTCGAGGCATGAAAACCTGGTATATCCCTTACGTAATTTTTTTGTTATTTGAAGCCCCACTCTCCGAATATAGGCATTGAACGAGGTTTCTGGGACACGGTGATGAGTGCTGGAAGTCTCGCTTGTGTCGTCCTGGATAGTAAGTCCTCTGGTGCTGGATATCGTGTGCGTTGCGCACGTAAAAAATCCCTTGGCAATTAAAATTCGAAAATTTGGAACTAAAAATCTACACAAAGTATTTCAGGATCCTCGCCGATGCAACTTAGTTCGTGCACTGCGCTGAGATTCTTCGCACACAGACTTGAGTCAGAAGTAGAACGGAGCACTTATAGATTACTAACCTTGTGCCATGATGTTGATCCGTCGTCTAAACCTAAACCTGTCGTGCCTGCGTTCGTTTTAAATTAAAATAACAGTTAGCAGGCTTGGCTAGTCGGCTCTGTGGCTAAGTCGATGCGAACGCTTCGTAATGCCAGGGTGCCGGGTTGATCCCAGCTGCGGGCCACGCGCATTGCGTTGGTTTCGACAGTGGTATCTAGAAAGCCGACCATCCAGTAGGCAATGGCAAACTACTGGACGTAAATTTGTCTAGAAAAACCACACAACAGCCAGGGGCTGTTGGGGTTGGCTATGCAACGTCCTGTAAGGATACGCAACTAACTTGGCTTGGCTAGAAACGACAGTGATTGAGGTAAAAAAAAGTCTGGGGTGATCAGGAAAGATTTGGGAAGTTGTTCACATAGTAGCTAGAATCTGGGGGCTCAGCCCACCCCCCCCCCCCCACCCCCCCAACAATTTTTTTTAAAGAGACTGCTTGTAATAATATCACACACAAATTTAAGAGATAATTTACAGAGCTTTCCCGTGTTAGTTCCTGCTCCCCAATAGCGGAAGGGGGGGGGGTTGGGATAGACCCAGTGCCTTCGTTACAAGCATGTCGTAAGAGTCAACTAATTTGCGGTTCCCTTAAAAATCGGAGTGCATCTACCTGAGAGACAATGAACCAGCAACTTGCATACAAATAAACCAGGTTTATAAAACTGTTGTGTTTATGTCCAGAATGCCTAAATGTGTGAAAAAGGACTCTTTAATGATTTTACTTCTCTTGTCATGGGGATTTATTGTGAAAGATGTTCTTATGAGCTAAGCATGAGAGTGTGAAATGTTTCTGTTCGGCTCGTATCTTAGATTCTGTTGTTGCTACAACCGGAAGCAGGGAAGCACATGTAGAATTTCAGATCTGCTGTGTTGGGAAATTTTTGGACCTGGCAGTTTATCTTCCAGACACGTTTAGAAAATGGGAGGAACCAAGAAAAGAAAGGTAAATATATTTACAGTTCACGAGGAATGGAAAAGTTATATAATAATATAAAACGTCAAACAAATATTGGTATGGCGTTCGTAATGTGTAATTATTTATTATATTGAAAAGAGCAGGTCACCACGCCTGCTTCTTCTTCTTCTGCGGCTTCTTCTTTTTCTGTGTTGGGAGTGCACAACTGCATGTGTGTATAAAGGTGATTATGCTTGTATATATCATATAATATATATGTATATATTTAAAATATATGATTATACGTTTGCATGTATTAAATTATTTCAATTTGTCATTGTATGCGTGGGTAGCCTGTTGCTAGGTGCTTTTATTACTTTGTATGGAGTATGTATGAGTAGAGCATGTATGTATATATGTGTGTGTGGTTACGTCTGTATGGTATGGGCATACATATATTAATTTATGAGTAACTCTATGATGTTATCATGTATGCATTATTATAAACATAACATGCAGTTGAGGTCTGAAATGCCAGAAATGAGTACTTGTGGGCTGAATGAAGACAGGCCTGCGTGTTCTGTTCAATTTGTTACGTTTTGAAAATAAAGTATAAAGTTCGTTTTTTTTCTTTTTGCCAACCAACCAGATAGCAGAGGTTCTTCTTCCTCTGCCATCTGACCGCAAAGGGGTAGGTCAACCAACTCACGCCAAGATTGTTCTATCCTTTGCTATCACATGCAGTTCTGGTTATATGCAGCTCTTCTCCTTCTTGTCCTCCGCTCTGCCCGGCTCTACTACTAAAAAAAACAACCAAACCTCTCTGTGCCCGCTCAAAACAAACAAACCTCACTCTCTGCCCGGCTCTCTGCTAAAACAAAACAAACAAACCTCACTCTCTGCCTGGCTCTCTACTAAAACAAAACAAACAAACCTCACTCTCTAGCTCCCTTATTAAGGCGTGTTTTTTTTGGTCTTCATATATTTCTGTGCCTCTCCAGTGCAAAGACAATATTCTGGTTATTTTGTTTTCAGGTTTCTGAATTTCTCAAAGCTCAATATATATGTTATCCAGCGCCAGCGTATTCACCACTTGATCCACTGGAACTTGTTTAGTTCTCCCCCAAAGCTCTACACAAGTGATTCTATCATGCGTAACATGCATAGGAAGCAAAGTACTGAAAGGCGCAAATATCACAGCCATTTTGTCTTCTTCTTTGTCTCATTCACCGCACGGCGGAAAATGTTCTGTTTGTTTGGGTCCACTTCTGGACTGCATGCCTGTTCCAGAATTTTAGTGCTGCCTGTGCATCCTGTTTGACAGATCTGACTAATTTATAGGTACACTAGTCACTATTGGTTTCTTGCCTCTCAGGCAGATGCACTCCAACTTTGAAGGAAGCTCCCAATTAGTCGACTCTTACGACATGCTTTTAGGTAGGCAGTGGGTCTATTCTTGTTTCCCTATGACAGGACCCTGGAACCCACACAGAGAACCCAGCAATGTTCTAAACAGGCACAATGCATTGGATGAACGCCCAAAAAAAAGAATTCATTTTTGAGGAATAAAAACTCCAGACCTGAGGTTTGACTGTAATAAGCTGATAATTATCTTTGTAAATTTACTTTACAGTTTCAGCGAGGAGCAGCCACAGCCTTTGTGTCGAGGAACAAAGCTCTGAAGAAGCTACAGCTATCACTGCCAGACTTTAGGTATGAAAGAACTTTATTTTCAGAGGGTTACAAATCGGGCACGCAGGCCCGTTTTACATTCGGCCCTTAGCTGTTCGCTGACTCCCAAAGGGCCCTCAAAACATCTAGATTGTCATAAATAAATTACCTGAAGGTCTAAAGTTTGAATCTACACCAAGCTAGATATTTGTAATTTACAGAGGGCCATTTTTTTTACTCTGCCTAAAAATAGGTACAATAAAATGTCCTGGGAAAGAAAGGTGGCTCATGTGAATGTTGTGACTGATGTGATCCCAGATGCATGAGATCTTACAGCAGACCGCTTTGCATCAATTTTGACAGTTGTGTTAATATTCTTCTGACCGTGGAATTGCAGACTAAAATCACAGAATCCCCCCCCCCCCCCCCCCCCCCCCCCAATATAAAAACTGGTGCTAGACTGTTCTGAAGGAATAACAACTAATTTTAAAAACCAATATTGACCACATCCTCTGGGTTCTAGTGTGTTTAGAAAAATATGAGCCGGGTAATGTATGCTTTAGTGTCTGCCGTAGTATAGCGGCTAGATGCTGACCTGCAGATCCCAAGATTGTGAGTTCAGGCCTAAGGGTGCTAGTTTTTTTTTTCTTCTTCAAAAATAAATTTTGAATCCAGGAAGGGAGGACGGCAACCTTAAAAATGATCCAAAGAAAATTCAGGAGAAGTAAAGGCAGTCACCGGAGTGTTAACCATATCACCCACAAGGTGCCACTTGGTCTGTAAAATATGGGACATGCATAAAGGCGTGGAAAAGGTTTTTCCCCTTCTTTTTTTTCTGCTTCATGTGCGAATGGTATGACAGTAATCCTTTTTTTAAACAAATGTATATGTTCAAAGGAATCTTTATGAATATATTATTTTATTATTGTGTTTGTGGAAATGTTTACATTTGTCCTTTTCTCTTATCCCCCCTACAGAACACTATGTATTTTCAAGGGCATCTATCCGGTGGAGCCCCCTACACAAGAAGAAAGTGAACAAAGGAAAGTACTGCTGTGAAAACATACTACAACCTCAAGGACATTCAGTTCCTTGTCACATGACCCTGCTTGTGGCTAAGTTCAGGGAAAAGAAGGTAACCACACTTGTTTAGGTCACTGTTTTCTTCTTCCTGTTCACCAGCTGTAAAATGTGAGGAAAGTGCTGGTTGTGCCGCCCACTTCTAGACTTTGGTCTTGTTCTAGATTTTTTAGTTCTTTATTTTTTATGTGCTGGCATCAGTGGCTTAGGTGGTGCGAACATGCTTCGGAATGGCGGGTTAGATCACAGCTGCAGGCAGTTTAGCAGCAGACGGCATTGCATTGGTTTTGGTGGTGGTATTAAGCGCCGGTCGTTCAGAAAGCAATAGCAAACTACTGAACATAAAGTTGTCTAGAAAAACCACAATGGCAAAAACAAAAAGGCTGGGGTTGGTTCTGCTAAACATTCTGTGAAGGTCACAAGAAACTATTATTTGTATGCAGACTGCTGGTTACTCCCCCTTTCAGGCAGATGTACTCCAACTGTTAAGGAAACACCTCTAATTAGTCGCCTGTTGTGACCTGCTATTTGCCCACTAGCTCAGTTGGTTAAACCTGACTGTATGGCGAACTACTTGTGATCCAAGTTCACGCTCGGGGGTAGGCAGAAGAGCCACATTTCTCTCAGATTTACTATATCCATCATAGAATCACAGACCACAGGGTGAGGGGGGGGGGGACCAAAGGTTTTGATATCCATAGTACCGAGCCAATGGGTTAACAACTCATGGTTTTCTGGATTTTTGAAAACAAAAATTTACACTGCTAGTTTCCATAAGGGGTAACAATATATTTTAGATTTTTTGCTGTTCGGTTTAAACATTTTTAGTTTATTACAGGTTTTAATTTTCCTTTTAACACTCAATAAATTTCCAAGTAAGTCTATGAAAGCTGCCTTTTTGCTTACCCATGTGACTCTTCTCTGAGTGTCTTTTTAAATATTTGTAAGTAAAAATATATATGTATATCAGTTCTTTAGTCATTGTTGCTTTGAGTACTCCAACTATATTTATCTATACTATATATATATATAATAATAAACAAACACGCAGTATATTGATCAGCACTCGTAGAAAGATAGAAGGGACACACTAGACAACATAAAAAAATTAAAAGCTGGTAATTACGGTGCTAGAAATTGAACCTGTCGCCCCTAAGTGGCGTGTGCCCCTCGCTATGGAAACAGTGTTCTAAGAACATGACCAAGCCATGCACCCCCAAAAAAGTTGTAATTTTGCTATTCTCTCAGCACGGTAACGATAGCTTTAGACTTTTATGTCGTCCTAGTGTATCGCTTCTATCTTTCTATAGAGTTCCGATTACAATACATTGGTTTTGTTTATTATCTATATATTTTCTAACAACACAGCGTCAAGGATTTCCACCCTCTGCTCATTACTAAGATCATGTTTGTTAAATTGCAAATTAATGAGTTTTTTATAACAGTTCCTTTGTTTTCACAATACTTTGTTTCACTTCAGCATCTAGTCAGGGGCGGTTGAAGAGAGCTGTTGCCAAAAAACAGATTTTGCTGTAAGCCCATCTTCGTGACAATAACCGTTGTACAGTCTAAAGCTGTGCTGAAAATAGGTATGTTTACCATAGTTGACTAACAAAGTATAAAGTTTTTTTTCTTTTGGGTCTCACTGATACTATTTTGTACGCCCCTAGTACACGGTTTATGTCTTTGTGTTGCACTTCGTGGGTGATTGATGATATGTCAGCTACAACTGTTTATCCATACTTTCTTGGTCTTCCTCCTCAAGGTGTAATTTCTGCGGCAGTCTCACGGATTGGTGAACCATTTCATTCTTTTTCTGTCAAACTTTTTCCTGATGGGTATTTGAAAACCCGTCTTTGTGTTTTTAGTGACAATGCGGGGACGCTTTTTCACATGTAGTTTTTTTCTGTTCTAGTGGGCCCATTTTTTGACCATTTTTGGGTTTGAAAATTAAAATAGTTTAAGTTTAATCATTTGATGCTTTGCTAAAAGGGGGACATTTGGGTGTCCTACGGTTAAACGGTTTTATTTTTACGTTATAAGCAGACCAAGGTTTTGAAACTCTTTTGTGGTTTTTACAGAAAAATTTATCTTACGTGTTGAGCTTGGGTTTTTTTAAAATTTTAAAAAAAAAAAAAAATTTTAGTTGAGAGGATCGTTTTTATTGCATCTGGTTTTAATTTCCCCCAGACTTGGTCCTTCGGAAAAGCTAGTGCAGGAGAGTGTCCACAAAACACGAAACACCCCTACTCAGGCAGCAGCCTCCCGGTAGTAAATTTTTGTTGCCCTGTAACCACATTCGAACTTTCAAAATATTGTGTGCTCCTCAATAAGTTGGGTCCCAAAAAAGCGCAGGCATCCTAGCTAGTTTTAAACAATACAACTGCCCTCGCTCTTTGAGGTGGGAAAAACAAAGATTTACGGGGATCCCACCCGTACCCACCTTATTTACCTTTAAAAAGGAAAAAGATGAAATTTTTGGGAAAAATTTTTACTAATTCATTGAAGGAAATGTCGACAACCACTATACAACATTTTAAACACGAGTGCTGGGGGCTATTTGGACACATTTGTGACTGAAAAGTGAAATGAATTTTAAGGGAAAAAAGCAAAAAATTAAAAAACCCCAGGGTTTTGAGTTGAGCCAAGAATGACATCACAGCATCGGGGGATTTTTTTGCATTTTCCTCATTTTCAGCGCAATAGGTTTAGAAAGAGGAAAGGGGGGAAGACTGGGGTTCAAACCTACTAAAAAATATAATATATATATATTAATTTTATTATATATATAGTTGCACAAAAAAAACCCAAAAGAAGGAATAATTTTCCCAGCATGTGTAACGCGATAGAAGGGAAAAGAAGAATGACTTGAGATTGTGTGCTATGATGGGTAAAAGAAACAAAAAGAAACAATGCAATCACAGGACATTTTTAAAAATGCCAATTACCGCCTTTTTAAAGTACCCCTTTGCATTTAAGAAAGTGAATTTTTTGAGTCAGGATTTCTGTGTATGGCAGGGCTGTTTCCACGGGCTGCAGTGAGGATTTTTTTTGGCCAAACTTAAAAAAAAAAAACCCGCCTTACCAAGAAATTAAAACCCGGTCTCCCTTTTGCCGAACCCCCCTCTGTGATTAAGTGGGGTTATTTTTATTTTTTGTTTTACACAAATTTTTTTTTGGGTTTTTTTAAAAAACATGATGTTCTATTTTATAAAAAGGATGCTATGTTTTTAAACTTTTTTTGTAGGTATCCTACTTTTTTGATGCCCTTTCGGGATCTTTATGACTCCTCAATTGTGTTTTGTTTTTTNATCGGGCTGGCCGAATAAACCCACACATCATCCTAGCACTCCTGTAATCTTCAGGTAATGTACCGGTGTGCCTCCTGCATCAATAGACACACAGTAAGGTCTCGGGAGTGTGGGATGGTCCTGAGAATTTGATACCCTAATGAAAATTGCGCCAATGTCTCACCGACATGGGACTAAGTGAGAAAATTCTCCAAATATTTGCTTTCAGCACTACGACGCTTTTTCCCTTAATTAACCTTACAGAAGTGAATAAGCTAAAGGCTTCAACTAAATTCATCATAAAAATCGCGGCATGACAGCGAGCGTCCAAACCTAAAATTGCAAGGGTGTGACCTGGGCAGCATAAAGTATACGTCACCGCATCGCATAACGTGCGAAGCTGGTAGTCAGTGGGTTAATATCTTGGTGTGAGGCTTGGTGTTGAGACGTAACCTGCCAAATCCAACCAGCAAAAAAAGTGTACAAACGTGTGAGGGGGGGGGGGGGGAGGTTGGCTTCCTGTGTGGGTTCCGGGCACCCATTTTAAAGGGAAAAGTAATAGGCCACTGCCACCCTAACGAGAATGTCGTAGACGTCAACTAATCAGAGGTGTATCCTTCGAAGTCAGAGTGAATCTGTTTGAGAGGCGAGATACCAACAGATCTGCATAGAGAAGCGTCAAATCTGTAAGGTAAATGTGCCTGCAAAGTTAAGTCCTAATAAGACTAGTGTCCAGCAGTGAACTAGAAGCAGCATAAGAAGTTAAGGGCCATGCCCAATATGGTAGTTGGACAGTTAAAAGAAATTTTGAAATTTTAAAAATGTTTTTCCTTCTTCTTCTCCTCTTCCACCTTGTTTTTCCATATGTGTTTCGTTATTAAATTCATTATTTTTTCTTATTTTCAGTTGAGTTTATGCACTATGTGATTGCAGCCAAAGCTCTGAGAAAAGTAAGTGTCTCAAAATATTTCTGAAAGTGTTTGACAGTTGGGGTGAGACTTGGTTAAAAAAAGGACAAAAACAAGTAGGGGACCTTTTTTATGCCAGTTATGTATTGGGCTTATGGTGCTAGACATAAATTTGTATAGTCAGCATGCACTCAGTGGTGGATATGGCCAGGTTAACATTGTGTTGACAACCTTTGCTTCCCAGTACATTACCTAGTACCCATTTTAGGCTTGGTCAACCTTTATACTTGATTTTTACCTTGGAAAAGACAAAGCTACCTTGATTTTTCGTCTGCTATAAATGGAGAATTTTAAGTAAAACGAACTATTGTCGTAAGGCATGTGAATTTTGGCAGAGGCGTTTTCCCCACCATTTGGCAATTTTTTTTTTTTAAAGCCACCTTTGTTTAAATGTTTAGTCGCTTCCAGTGGGCGGTGAACTGGCAATTGATCGATCCTCTCAATGTTCTCCTTGTTTGCTTTGCGTCTTGTCGTTTGGAGGGACTTCATCATGCTTTTAAATAAAAAATAGCGCTAGCCTAAGTTGGGCTATTTTTTTTATACTATCTTTGTTTCACATGCTTAGAGCCGGTAAAAAGAAAGGCAGTTGATCAGTTTTTCTGTTTATTATTTGATGTGTGGGGTGCAGTATCATCATCGTTGTCATCATGTGCGCTGGCGTAGGCGCTCATGAGTCTTCACATATCACGATCCCTGGTTGCCTTTAACAGCTCTCTTGATGATATCCCTCCATGCCATCGTTGCAGAGAGTAAACATTGGAGACGGGGTGGTGGGAGGGGATCTGTGTTGTAAGAAAGGAATTGATTGACAACCAGTATGGGACCGGAGAGGGCGCCTTGCACGCCTACAGTGTTTTCTGGACCACAATTATATTAGGAAAGGGTAGGGCTGGCAGAGTGTGATGACACATGGATATCTTAATTCTATTTTTGGTATTGCTCATTCTACAGTCTGTCTGGTGCTCAGTTTTCTAACCCTCCCCTTTGTCTCCCCCACCCCCAGTCTCTCCCTTCTCTCACTGCTGTGATTTGTTTGCTCTTTTGCATTTCTTTCCTCCTTTCTCCAACCTTAGTCCCTTCCCTCTCTATCCCTACTCTGTTCTCTTGATCCTCAGTGTTCAGACATACACACTACTTGGCCTAAAACGAATCACTAGATTAGGGTTTTGGATTGTGAAGGCTGGGGCAGGCAAGATAATCAGACCAGGTAGCAGATAAAAATTAGAGATATTAAAATGTTAAGTAAAGTTAGATGGCCATCGGCAGATATAAGAGTGGTTAGTGTGCTTTCCCCTACTAGACTCAGGAAGATAAGATTGAAAACATGAAGGAGTAGGCATTGTGACAACATCCTTTGGTAACAAAATTTGTTTCTGTTTACCATAATGCCTTGTATGATAGTCACAGGGGAGCAGTGACCAGTAAAATAGCTGATCCTAGCAGTCCATATCTGCATCTCAACTTTTTTTTTGGCGCCATATTACCCCTGATTTTTATATTGTAATTGTGTTTGTGTATTTTTTGTGTTTGTTTGTTTTAATTGTTGTCATTTTCTTACCACAGGTATTTGTGTCAATCAAGGGCATCTACTACCAGGCAGATATTAAAGGGGAGACAATAACATGGGTTGTATCACATAAGCGAGGCTTTCAGGTATGTTCTTGATTTACCAAGCCCCTTTTATGTTTGACTTTTGTTAGTCAGACTCAGAGTATTTATGCTGCAAGTGAACGTCAGAAAGATAATTCTAAACTTTTTGTCATAAGGCCAGGAATCTTGGATATTGAGTGAAGAGATTTTTTAGAGCTTGAAGCTGTCGTTCTGGTTCCCAAATTTGTAAAGAACTTTCCCTGTGTTGCTTCCTATGCCCCATTGTTTTGGGGTAAAAGAAGAAATAGTTGTACTGCCCGTTGATAGCGAACCCAGCAGACCAAGATGGGGAAGACATGGGTTGAGCTATATGCAGTAGCAAAGGATAGAATGACTTGACATGAGTTAGCTGAGTGCCTTTACTCCATTTGGGTTACAATGCAGAAGAAAAAAGGCAGTTAATGGTTTGCTAAAATTACATTTCTTAGGTCAAAGGGCACTGATTTTTGTAGCCAAGCTGTAAACCACAACACATTTGGGCCAGCTGCCCTCTTGAGGGCAAACACAGAAGAAGAAGTATAGATCGTCTTGCTGAATGTCATATCGGCTGTCTTTGCTGCTCTTACAATTGCTGATACAATTTTGAGCTGGGATCTTGGATGATTAAAAAAAAAAATCTGTCGCACTGGCCATTTAGTCCTTTGTAATCATGGGGCCAACAGTGAGCATGCTAGCCACTGCACCACCACATCTCTCTTTTGAACTTACAGCATTAGTTCTAAATTACTTTTGATTCTTTTATTTTATTTCTCCCCATCTCAGGGGTTCCGAGATTTCTGGGAAGTTCCAGATGAAAGTCCTGTAGTATGGGGTTGTTAGGCTGTGAAATGAACACTAACCCTAACACACCCCATTGACTTTTAAAGGGGTGTAGGTTTGATGTCTAAAGGGGCATATGTTCATCTTCAGAGTCTTCTGTGTGTTATCTCAGTCAAATTAGAGAGTTCTCAGCAACAGACCAGACTTAGCCATCTTGAATGTATCACCATCAGACAAGGGCTCAAACCAAAGGCGCAGTATGTAAGCATTCTCAAAAGGACTGTATTTTTGAGTCCGTCAAAGAGTTTCCTGTTTGTAACTAACTGATATTTTTTTTTTTTTACAAAGGTGAGGAAATCTTGTCTGCCACACAGTATGTGAACATTCTTAAAATTACACTATTCAAGAATCCTCCAAGTCTATCCTATGTGTCAATGACTGATGAAGTCTTGTGGACAACATATCTTACGCAATCGGTATAGTGATATTTGACAAAGGTTTGCCTAATGAGTTAATCTTGTCTGCCACACAGCACCCACAAGATGTGGACTACAAAATCATGAAGACGTTTGCAGAGTACCACACAGTTCTTCTGGGACACATTAACATCAAGCTATACAGTGATTTACACTTGGTCTACCCACCTCAGGTAAGTGCATGTCTGGGTTACGTTTACAAGTTAACCCATTCTGTCCCAAGCATTGAATGATGCATGAATCCCCTAATAAAGGTGTAATGTGATCTTACCTTGGTTAGAACATACTCAAGAAATCTGGCAGCTTTGGCTCTGGATTAGGCCTCTTTAAAATAAAGTGCTTGTGATTATTTTTCATACTGAATTTTGTCCCTTAGGGCATTTGCTATAATGCTTTTGTGTCCGAATAGGATACAATTTGAAATTCATGTCATGATATTATTAGCCTCGAGAGCTATGCTGTCTAAGCAGTAAGGGGTGTGTGTCAGATTTGTGTTGCACCTAGTGCTAGGCTTAATATAGATAGTATTTTTATGTTGGTGCATGAAGAGCTAGATGTTGTAAGGACCATTTAAGAGTTAAATAGTGCAGAGGTACAAACAGGTGATTATCTAAAGAGATGTTGCAGCTAGGAATTGAACATCAACCTGAAAATTTATTTAGTGAAGATGTTTGCAACCATTTGCATTATCTTTCTTTTAAGCACTCACCGTCTGTAAACTCTGGTGGAAAGTTCTCGTTGTTCATTCACTTCTGTATTTTTAAAATTTTTAAGCACAGGTCAACTTTACAGATCCTGCTTATTTGTATGCAGACTGTTGGTTTTTCGCCTCTTATGTAGATTCACTCAGATTTAGAAGGAAACATATCTGATTGGTTGCTATTTGCAATACTTGTTGGGGGCACTGGGTCTGTTTGTTTTCTGTCAAAATGAGGGAGAATCTTAATTTAATATGGTATTTTTGTTTTTATATCTTTGGACCCATCAAAGTAGCAAACAGTGGGGAATGGAGAGTGAGAAGATGTAATGAAATTCACAATCTGTTTAAATCTCCACACTGATCACTGGCATAATGAGAGCTAATAGACTGAAATAGTTGGGGCATATTGAAAGAATGTCAGATAACAGAAGTAAAAACTACACACAAGTGAGATGAATGGTCACAGACCAAGAAGAAGATAGAGAGATAATGTGTGTCCAGACAGATCTGCAAACACTTAGTGTCACCAACTGGAAAGAAAAGAGCCAACCAGAGAGATGAGCGAAGGTGGGTGATATCTGCAGCAGTGAACCTGAAGGCCACATAATGCTGAAGGAGAATTGTATTCATATTATCTGTGTTGTTTGCAGTTGGAAGAACCACAGCAGCATGTGAGCCAAGAACAGTGTTTGGAAGGCGACCGGGTGGATGAGAACCTGGCTAGTCTTGCCCCAGCCATCAAAACAACTGGAGAAGCCTTGGAAGAAGAGGACGAAGATCCTGAAGTGGATGCTCTCAATGCAGCAAATGTAAGTTGCTGTCATGCAAGTTTTTTATGTCACTGATTTTTAATTACTGTTTGTTGTGTCTGCGGTTAATAAAAACTGAAACTGTTGTATGGTTTAGTTTTAAATCATAGAGCAATCTTATTATGTTATAATTTAAAAACTTTTAATGTCGTTAAAACAGACTTATTGGGATTCTACACATTATTTTTATGTGATACATTTAACGTCTCTTTATATACAAATTTTCAAAACATTGTTTGCTAGATTTGCTTCAATTGAATGTGTATTTTATTGCGTCTAAGTCCTTCTATCTTTAGTTCTTTCTTCTATATTTGCTGTTCATTAATTCTGTGAATTTGTTTTGATTATGCGAACCTTTTACACATGTTTACTATTCTTCGCCCTGTAAGTGGGCATGATGTGTATTTCAGCTGTAGCCAGCTGCTGTCTTAGTGGGTATGATAGATATATCCACACTCTACATTCTTTGGGCAGTAGCTATTGGGTATGACGGGTTACATGCTTGCGACTTTCACTGTTGTTTTCGTTAGAGTTTTCTCGACCGTTGAAGAATATATGCTAAAATAAGGTACCTGTTTCTTCAGCCCCTCCGCCGCCCTGTATGGGCTTGACACCGATTGTCTGGGAACTTTGTTCAAAAACTATTTGTTGTCTTGTAATCATTCTAAAATTACCTGGTGCTGCAAAAGAAGTTGTCTGTCTGAAGGTGTACAGTAAATGAAATAAAGACTGATTGGAATCATCATTCTTCAAAGAATTTTGCTTGAATAAGAGGACATATTCTTTTCCAATAGAAACAGTTTGTTGTTGACTTCTTCTGAAAGTAACAATTTTGAGAAAAGTAATGGACAAAATTTCACCTGTTGCTGAAAATGATTCTGTTTATGGAGGATACCTTTTGATTTTGGGTGCACCTTTAAAAATACCCACTAAAGGAGTAAAATGAGATAAACCATTAACTTATCGGCAAGCGGGTGGCCTATTGGCTCGCCAGTGGACGACTTCATCGCTGGTTGGAATAGTATTTGTGTTTGTTCTGTCTCCTTTGATCATATCAAGAATGCAGGAGTCCTTTTTGGGGCTTTTGGTGGAATCCAATGCTAAGTAGCACACATAATCTAGTCACAATTATAACCTGAAGCTCCCCTTCAGGGATGCTGGTTGAACGGGACTATTTTTGTTTTCCCGGCAGAGACCTACCTACCTAGCCCGTTAACTAACAGTACAATGTGTTTTTTTTTTTTTTTTTGGAATGAGGTTGCTAATAGCTAAAATAATCCAATTGTGTCTCCAGGCAGATGATCCACATTACATAGAAAAGTCCAAGCTGGAAGCACAGAGTGTGAGGAAGCTTCAGAACTTGTTCAAGGGCCTCCGATTTTTCCTCAACAGAGAGGTGCCCAGGGAGGAGCTGACGTTTGTTATCAGGTTTGTGTTACATTTGTTAAATAGTGCATTTTTGTGTGTGTGGTTAATTGATGCTTTTGTTGAGGTTTAACTGATACTAGTGGAGCAGTTGGCCGATTCATTCAATGTTTCGGGGTCTTTCATAAGAGTTGAAGACTATTAACATATCTGTGTTAATTTTTTGTTTTTCAACTAATGCTTTTCTTTAAAGATTTTTTTATATATACTATAGGAGCTGTTGGCTGAATCATTCAGTGCATGAGGTCTCTTTTGGGAGAGCCCCAGGTTCAAAGTCTTTAGTAAGGAATTAGCCATGCGCCCCTAAATCCTCAGGCTCAGGGCCCCTCTTTCTACTCCGCACTAAAAACACAAATATAAGAAGGAAAGACGGCCTTAATTGAAATGTGTGTTATTTAATATGGTCCTGTGTTGAGTTTCAACTCTTTGAGTCTGAAGGGACGCATCATACGTTCATAGGTTCCTATCTAGAAGCCCAATGAACGCAAGGTGCGCCGATTCTCTTGACTACCCCTGTGACCTCTGATGCTAAACCCCATGGGAGTTAATTAGTGCTTGGGTTGAGGTTTCATAATTGCTTATAGTGCAGTTTCATTAGAAAACAACCAGTCACTGTAGACTTAACAAACAGTGACTGAATACTTGTGTGCATTCCTTAGAAATCTTTTACAGCGGGCTCAGTGTTCACAACATAAATGCTAATTACTGTCTTTATTTACCACTGGGCGGAGGTAGGGGTCTGCTTAGGATTTAATTAAGCATGTCTTAGTTAGTGAGTCTTTCCTCTTGTGTCGAGTGCGGCACATAGGGCAGAGGTCATGACTCTCCATGCATGGCGGTTCGTTGCAATCTGTTGTAGGTCTTGGAAGTTTGAGTGGCCCATGAGCGAGCCTTCCCTGATGATAGTTCTACGTAGAGTTTCCCTTGGTCTTCCACAAGATCTTTTCCCCTGTGGTGTCCAAATGAGGGCTTGGTAAGGAAGTCTTGATTTATCCATTCTATAGGGCGTGGCCGACATAGTTCCAGCGGCGTTTTCGTATAAAATTGTGTTATAAAAAGTGTCTTTGGTTCTCTTATACAATGTTTTTTTAGCATGTGAAAAGGGTGAGACCAAGCAATAACCCTGTGCAGGATGTCAAAGAAGAAGAATAACTAACTCCTAACTGGTCTTGTCCACTGCTGCATAATGTGATTGCCAAAAATTGATTGATGTCCAGTGAGGTTGATTTGTCGACTGTTTTGTTGTTGCATATTTCTCACACAGATCTAATTTTTTTCAGATGCTGCAGTGGCCTGGCATCATGGGACCACACACTTGCTATTGGGGCTACCTACCAGGAATCCGACGACAGTATCACACATCACATCGTTGACAGGCCTACAGTTGCGAACCAGAGGCTGGACCGGTAAGCTCCTTGAAATGTTTTTTTTTTAGTAATTTATTCTTTTATTGTCCTTCTCTGGCAGTGGTCTTCAAATGAAAGGTCACAGGGCTCTGAAAAGACGGATTTGGTGCCTACAGCTTCATTCAGCTTGGTTTCGCCCAGATTGCTCATTGTCTTCATGTGCACTGCTGACTGGCATAGGCTTCATGCATCTCCACAGATCTCAGTCCATTATCCTCTGGATCACTTCCACTGAGATGATATCCCTCTGTGCCACCTTCGCAGTCCATCAGTCATCACCTCTCTCGGTCTGTCTCTCCCTCTTCAACAGTTGATCTTCCCATTCGTCACAATATTCTTCAGAACCTTCACCCCTCATCACATGACCAAAGAACAATGCTTGTCTTTTCCCTTATAGCTGTATATATTGATCTGCTTTTGTTAGCTTCCTTCAAGCAATCCTCAATAGTTACTCTAGCAGTCCAAGAGATTCTTAACATTTGTCTGAAAACCACATCTCTGTCGCCTCCAAGTTCATTTCTAATGTGTGCATTCACAGTCCATATTTCACTACTGTACAGCAATATAGGCTCTATATAACATTTAAGTACTCTCTTTCGAACATCCAAAGATGTTGCACAAGATGTTCTGAATTCTGTGAAATGCAGCCTTTGCCTGGCCTATTCTGCTCTTAGTTTCTGGCACACTTCTTCCACCAGATTGCTGACTGGTCAAAACTGGGATCTTTCTGCTGCACATTTGTGTGGTTTATCATCACACATGTCATGTACAAATGTTCACAACTATGCCTGGATTTATCTGCACTAGTTTGTTACTGCAGCTGTTATGACACATGTAATGTTACATCTTGATGAGTTTTCATAATACATGTTATCCTATGCAGATTGTCGCTCTCATCGTCGCCTGTGTAAGGGAAACCTTGATGATCATTCTTCTAGAATGTCAGTATTTCCTCTTTGTCCATATAGGAATCTTTCTTTGCATTTCTGTTCAAAAGCCCATATTTTCTTATAAATCATATAATAGGCAGAAAATGTCAGTATAATGTATTTTTATGAGGTAAAGAAAAAGCTGCTCGCTTCGGATAGGTCACAACTTTTGAGACATAAAGGTAAAGGACCCTTTTTTGCACTATCTAAGGCAGATTTCTTCTTCTTGCTTGAAAATGGACCCTCTCTCCCAGGTCACCTGAGGCTGAAATGGGCACCAGGCAATTCCTGGGAAACAAAGGTGGCCAGTCAGTTAGTTAACATGACCCATCAAATGCCCAGTGCGTCATCGGTGAGAAAAGGGCCCATTTTCTCTTAGGGAGAGGCGCATAAAACCGCTGAAAGATGGCATATTTAAACAAAGGGGTGAAAAAGGTCCTTTACTTTCTAAATGATATATGTCTCTCTCTCTCTCTATTTTATTTTTCAGAACATATGTGCAGCCACAATGGGTGTTTGACTGTATCAATGCCAGAACTCTCCTCCCAACTAAGGATTACTTCCCTGGAGTGCCCTGTCCACCTCATTTATCCCCCTTTGTAGAGGAGAAAGAGGGAGAGTATGTCCCAGAGGAGAAGGTCAAATTCCTCAAGCGGATACAGGGAGACAATTCCTGGGAAACAAAGGTGGCCAGTCAGTTAGTTAACATGACCCATCAAATGCCCAGTGCGTCATCGGTGAGAAAAGGGCCCATTTTCTCTTAGGAAGAGGCGCATAAAACCGCTGAAAGATGGCATATTTAAACAAAGGGGTGAAAAAGGTCCTTTACTTTCTAAATGATATATGTCTCTCTCTCTCTCTCTATTTTATTTTTCAGAACATATGTGCAGCCACAATGGGTGTTTGACTGTATCAATGCCAGAACTCTCCTCCCAACTAAGGATTACTTCCCTGGAGTGCCCTGTCCACCTCATTTATCCCCCTTTGTAGAGGAGAAAGAGGGAGAGTATGTCCCAGAGGAGAAGGTCAAATTCCTCAAGCGGATACAGGGAGACATCATGGACGAAGACGAGGAAGATGATGACAGCGATGTGCTTGAAGAGGAGGAGGATGACGATGAGGAGGAGCAGGGTTAGTTTCGTTATTTTTCTGTTACCAGCTTGTTTAGTTCATCTTGTCAGAGCAGTATGTTTGTCAGTTCTTCTGTATAAGCTCTTTAAATGGCTGTTGGCATGTTGGGTACAATAATTTTAACTAACCCCATGACGTCACGGGAGACATTCAAATAATGTCCAGGGTGGTAAGGTTGGGGGGTTTTTTCCCCCCTCTAGAGTGCATTGCACAAGCGTGCACTTTTTGGCGCCTCTAATGGCGTGTGTTTACCGCGTGTCAGCAGTCTTCATCTTTTCCACGTCTGGTTGCTGCGGTTTTCATTTTTGTTTGCCGTTCGTTCCAGCCATGACTTTTCTACGATTAGTAGTATCTTTACAAGAGAAGGAGACCAGCATTGCCTTCCTGCAACAGCATGGCATTCTGCACAGAACGAGACATTGCAGAAACAACTATCAGATAGATGGTGTATTATCGCTGTCGGAAAGACACACAACCGTTTCTCGGTGTCGAAAGTATGACAAATTGCGGACCTCTTTCCGGCCACTATACTGCGGCCGCCGAGAGTGGAACGAACGAACGAACTTTATTTTCAAAGGGTTACAAATTAGGCACGCAGGCCTGTCTTACATTCGGCCCTTTCCAAACTTCCATCTTTCACACAGCAGTTGTATTTCATCAATGAAGCATGTTATATTCATGTAATAATATGCATATTATATATATGAAGTCAAAAACAAAAGCATGGCTGGTAAAATATGTACGCACGCTCACGCGCGAACACACACACCCACATACACACACAAGCCCAATGGCTCACTTACACACAAAAATATAGGCACTAAGTACACACATACATCCACATACATACGAACATGCACACATACATGCATACATACATACATACATACATACATACATACATACATACATACATACATACATACATACATACATACATACATGCATGCATGCATGCATGCATGCATGCATACATACATGCATACATACATACATGCATACATACATACATACATACATACAAACTCATAATACATACATACATACATACATACATACATACATACATACATACATACATACATACATACATACATACATACATACATACATACATACATACATACATACATACACACACACATACATACACACTCACATGCATACATACTCACATGCATACATACATACGAACTCACATAAAAACATACATACGAACTCACATAAAAACATACATACATACATACATACATACATACATACATACATACATACATACATACATACATACAAACATACATACATACATACATACATACATACATACATACATACATACATACATGCATACATACATACATACATGCATACATACATACACACACATACATACATACATACATGCATACATACATACATACATACATACATACATGCATACATACATACATACATACTCACATACATACAAACTCACATAAAACTAGATGGCTGGGACTCGCGATCAAATAAAATGGAGGAAGATGCAGTGTCCCAGCCTTCTAGTTAAGCCGCACTTCGTGACGCGGGGGATACTCTCGGTGATCGCTGTATAGCCGCTAGAAAGAGATCTGCAAAATTACACATGACTGAGGCCCTGTTAAGGTATATTTCTGGCCGCTATAATTTGGGACCGCTAGTCGGAGGCTAGCCAAAAACACAGTTTACATTACATTTTTTTTTTAAAAGTTTTGAGGGATTGAACGCTGCACCTTTCATTTATAAGTCAGATATGATATCAACTGCGCTACACATTCACATGACAAAATTATATAAAAAAAACTGCCCAGTCTTTTACAATGGCAAGCAGCCGATTGCGCATCAACAGACAGATATATGCCACACAAAAAGACAGTAGAAGAGAAATGACAGCAGCAGCACACTTGCACCCCTTGAAATAGTGGACTGTCCCGACATCTGTGGAAATCCCACGGATTACCTCTGTTTGGGGGTGCATAAAAAATATTGTACTGCATGTTATGCTGTGGTTTACAGCTAACCTGCAACAATTGCACAGGGGCTTAAAAGCTTCTAATGGGAGAGGAGGCAGAATTTGTTAGGTCTGTGTCAGAGGCCTCTCTCCCTTAAAAATCTGCAAAAAGGTTTATTGCCCCCCTCCCCTTACCATATTTGAAGTATTTGTTGAACAGTAGCCCATAATAAGGGTAATTATTATTTCACACTTAAATTTGAGTCAAGTTCATTCAAGACCTGATGTTGGGGTAATCTACCAGGCAGCGGAGATTTGGCATCACATTTGCCAACAAAGGATAACAAGACCAAGGCATATGGTGATGCTTATAGCTGAGTGATTAACATATGTTTCTCCTTTTTTTTTCAGATGATGATGCAACAGAGACAGTCTCTGCTGGTAAAAAGAGAAAACGGGGGAACTCTAAAGACGTGAACAGTGGTGATCGGGCAACTAAAATGTCAAAGGTGAGGCTAAGTTATCATTATTGTAACATCCCCGTGGTGAAAACAAGAATAGACCCACCAACTCCCCAACAAGCATGTAGGAGTCGATTGATTTCGGGCTTCTTTTGAAGTCGGAGTGCGTCTTCCTGAGAGGCATGGTGTCAACGATCTGTATAAAGAGACATCAGATCTGTGAAAGGGATGTGCATGCAACACTCAGGTTCTGAAACAAGACTTCAAGTCCAGAGTTGGACGAACAACCAGAACTTTCCACTGCTGGATGCAATGATGATAGTGATTATTGTAAAAATGTGCACCTGTAGGAGGAAATAACCAGGAACTCAGTTTCACCAAATGGGGATGTTGCTGGGCAGGGTTTCATAAAGAAAGAGAGTGGTGATGTACCCACATTTTAAATATACCAAGTGGCATTTGATAGGTGATGTGATCAGCATTGTTCTAATTGCCACTTCCAAGGTTATTCAACAGTGACCATTTTAGAGTGAGGTCGGCAAAGAGCTGAGGCTTGTTAAAAACATCTGCATTAAGTGGAACTCAAAACCTTTAGGATGGCGGGCAAGTGTTTTGCTACTGCACCACATTTGCCCCGACTGATCGAACTTTTTTTTAATTATTATTCATTTTTTTCTTCTTCAATGTTACTTTGTTGACTGAGTGTGGGTTGTGAGCACCCATCTTACAGGAAAAAGAATAGACCTGCTGCCCCGAACAAGTATTTCGCAAAAGGTGACGTAAGTCCATAGGAGGATGAACAACCAAGACTTTCCGCCGGAGTTTACAGCTGAAAGAAAAGAAACCTAAGTGCCCAGTTGTTCTAACAGCAAATTAATTTTTTCTGTATTTCATTTTACAGTCGTCTCCTGGCATGGCTGTTACTGAAGGCACGATTGAACGTGTGGACAAGCAGAAGAAACTGGCCAGGCAACAAGCTGAAGAAAAACGACTGGGAGAAATGATGATTGCCAAGAAACACAAACGTTTGTACCACAAGATCATGACTTCTCGCAAGAAGAGCTCTCAAGAGGCAAAGAAATTACAAGACAAAAAGGAAAAAATTCAAGCCCAGAAAAAGGGGCAAGAAATTAAAGAAGGGTGCAGTTTGATGGATAGGATGGGACACAGTGAGATGAATGAGATGAGGGCGTGTATTGTTTGGTTGTTTGATTTTTAAAAAATGTGCCTCATTTATTTTACGTTTGTAAGGATCCATGAATAACTGTAAATTTTTAGTCAATATCCAGTAGATGAATAATGGTATCCTTTTGCAAACAGGCATAGTTAGAAATGAGTAAGTAAAGTAATTGATGGAATAAAGAAAAAGGTTATCGGAAATTAAGTAACATAGATTCTCTTAACCTCAAAGAGTCAATAGTAATAAGAAACAAGAAGAGCTAACATTAAAATGAAGGAATAAGAAGACTAATACTGAAAGTAGTCATACCATTAATTAAAGAGCAACAGATTTGTTTGGAAATAGGTTTGTTATTTCTGTAAAGGCAGGTTAACATCATTCTGGTCTACGCTGTAATTAAAATGAGTGATCTGGCTACATATAAGACATTTTGTGTGTGTGTTAGTGTATGTGTGTGTGTTTCAGTTATTTCATATTAAATTTCATAATGGTTTGAAAAGAACATTATTGGTGGATATGGTTGCTGGGATGAGAAGACAGTTTGGCCAGCCTGGTGGTGGACACAGGATGTTTTGTTTGCTTTCAGCGGCTGTGGATTCCCAAGGAAGTCCTGGTTATTTGGACTTTGGATTTGAGCCCAGACCAGCATTTTCTGTGTGCATTTTGCTGGCTTATTTGTGTGCAGTATGTTATTCCTTGCCTGTCAGGCAGATGTGCTCCGACTTGATTGAAGGAGACAGGATGTTTTGGATGCCCTGGGCATGAAAGATCTTGAGGTAGTATTGTGGGCTGAGGGAAAACACCTGCTACATGATGATGATGAACTTTCAATTTCAGCTGCTTTAGTATAGAGGGGGATGTGCTAACTCATTAGATGAGTAATCTGTCTGTGCCTCCACACTCTTCAGTCGCTCCCAAATAGCCCTCACGACATCCAGCTTGGCATACATCAGTTCACCACCAAGCGGTGCAGAAACGGCCAGTCTATTTGCCTGCTCATTTCTCACCACACCGACATAGGTATAGATAATCACATCACCTGGGCGGGCATTGTCGTCAATCATGTGTTGAACTTCTGACTCTGCAGCACCAGCTGGCCAGTCCCTGCACTAATGACTCAAAGTGATAAGGACCCTACATAAGTCTGAAGCTTTGACCCACTGCTCTCCTCGTTTATATTTATCGAGCCTGTACACGTTCAGTCATGTCTTTAGCTTGCGCCATCCAAGACCTTCCTCTTTTCAGTCTGTGACCCTTAGCTGTACACAGGGCTTCAAGCAGGAGGTGCTTCTTGTCTGCAGCTACTCTGAGATATGACTTTACTTGCAAAACTTTGAGCCTATCAGCAATATTAGGCAGTGCAAGTTTATATCTCATACACACTACCAGGATATCTCCTGTACATCCCATAATTACCCACATGGCCTCATTCTGCATTCAAGTTTCATCTGCTGACTCTTTGATGTGGTAAGCATTCCAAGTCCATAATCTATCACAGACAGGATCACATGTTGGAACCTTGTAAACAGCCTTCTTTATTCCATGTCCATTGCTGCCATTATCTTGAGAGCATTGAGCTCTTTTTGGCATTTCACCGCAACTGCCTCTACATGATCTCTGAAGGGCAGACTTCTATCAAAAATTATACCCAGCTACTTCAGTTTGATTTCTGTTTTGATGTTATTGTCACTAATTGTGAGGCTTGAAACATTTACTCTTACAATTATACTGTCCAGAGAACAGCACAAAACAGCTGCTTTTTCTGAATTGATGACAGCACCCATATCTGCACACCAGTCAGTCACTTTGTCTTCAGTTGCCTGTAGCTCCTGGGCTATCCGTTGTCTATCACTCCCCTGCCTATGTGCAAGAACATCCTCGGCAAATGTTGCATACACATTAAAGAGCACGTGAAATTGCAGAACCCTGGGGTAGTCCCGGGGTGATATTACATGGTTTTGATAGGCTGGTCCCTTCTTTGCACCTGTTTGTGAAATTTCCAAATCATACCTAGTGATTTATCCCCTCCAATTTTGCTCATGAAATGTTCCTATTTAGACTTTTTTTTCTGCATCTGCTGCACACCGCTTACTCTTCTACCTTGTCCGTTCTAACGCTGTCTAGCTTCTCTTTATCCCCTTGTAACCTGTGAAGTGCCTTTCGCACCTTCTGTAAACTGCTGCTCACTTTGCTCTCCATGCCTCAATATAAACAATTTACGTTATGCTGATGACAGTCTTAATAGCAACATGTCAGAAAGAACTACAGGAAATGATAGACATTGTGGTGTTAGAAAATGGAAGAATGGGCCTCAGTTTGAATAATGGGAAGACAGAAGTAATGGTGGTATCAAAGAAACAAATTATTCCTAAGTGTGTAATAAAAGTTGATGGTGTTATTTTAGGACAAGTACAGACATTTAACTATCTGGGCACATGGATAACATCAGATGGAAGATGCATAAGTGAGATAAGAAACAGAATAGGACAAGTAAAAACTGAATTTTATAAAAGGAAGAACATCTTGTGCAATACATCCTTGTCATTGAGAGTTAGAAAAAGAATTCTTGCTTGCTATATACATCCAGTTTTAACATATGGCTGTGAATCCTGGACAATCGGTAGGCAGGCCTAACAATTTCTTGAGGCCTCAGAGATGTGGTTTTACAGAAGAATGCTTAGAATACCTTGGATAGCCAAAAAGAGCAAGCAAGAGGTTTTGAAAGAGACGGGAGCCGGAAGACAACTTATCACAGACATCAGAAGGAGACAGTCATCATTTTTTGGCTTATGTTATGAGACGAGGGAAAATAGAACATGTGACCACTGGGAAGATTTATGGAAGGAGGGATAGAGGAAGACAACGAGAGAAGATTCTTGACAGTTTTGTTGCATGGCATGGAGGAGTGTCAGCACACGAACTGATACATGCTGCAGGAGTTCACAGATTATGGAGAGGCATGATCGCCTAGTCACACTATAAGGATGATGATGATTCTTGAACTTTCACAATCATTTAGGAAGGAATAGAGGACTTGTATCTTAAATTGTATAGAAACATTCTTACAATACCAAGGACAAATGCATGGGGGTGGGGTCATTGTCCATTTATGAAAAACAAAAAACGTTCAACCTACTGCGAACAGTATCAGTTATAATGGTGGTCTGGTTTCTTTGTGCTAATTATGTTGGCTAAAAAAAGTAAATTGCGCTAAAACTAAAGAAAACTGCCTCATAAACAGCATCTAGTCTCGGAAACTAAAATACTTTAATAATTTCATACGTCACCATAGATGGAGAGGACAGGGGCGGAGGGCATGGTATCAATAAAAGGGGTAGGTTCCTACAGACAGGATGATAAGCACATTACAAAAGAAGACATGTTCGGCAGGAAAGTGCATGAAGTGTGCGAGCTGGACCGAGTTTCAAAGACATGAAGTTCCACAATTCGAATGAGAATCCCCAGTGCACATGTCCCAGAACTCCCGCTCCACCGTTAGATTATATTAGGGTCCTTGACGACAACCGGCTTGAGGCCTTAAAATGACAAAGAATTTCGTCTCGTGTTAACATGGTTGCAGTCGAGTTTCTGTGTGTCGTTCAACCCTATGAGGACCGTACGAGCGACCAACACCCGGTGACAAAAAATACCACCATTCGGATAAAGATCACTCGAATACAAATCCAAGTTCAACCGTTAGGTTATATAAGAGTCCCCAACAACAGCAGCAGTACCCTTGAAACCACACTGCGTCCCAATGTCGGATGCAATTTTTGTTGTTTTTCAAAGCCCCACCCTGGCAGTTGCCAGATGCTAACTTGTTGGTTGAATGGGGTTTCTGTGACCTCTTCCCGGATTACCTCATCCGCTTGGTGGACTTGTTGGCATTGTGTGGATGTCCTGGTGGGATTGAATCTCACTCAGCGGGGGGGGGGGGGGTTGAAATAACAAAAATTGCATCCTGTATTGGGATGGCGTATCGTAATCAAGCTTCTTTCCGAAAGGCCGTAATAGTAGTGTGCTCTGTAAAGGTCCTGGTGAGTGGCCATTTGAGCGCGTGCGGTCAATCATTCAGGATGCAGTCCCTAAGAAAGCAATTCCAGAAGAAGAGGAAAAACTTCTAGAAACTCTTCAGATCATTAATGTAGGAACCGAGCCTTTGTTTCTGCTCCCCTCTTTTTCATGACTATCTCCCTGCATTATTAATAAGGGAAATAACCTGCTAAAAATGTGAATACTTTAGTCTTTGGAGTTGTCATCCTGCTTTTCAGTTTAAATGTCAGATGCATTTTAGTAATCAGTCGAACGCAAACATTAAGTAACAGGAGAGGATTGGATTGGATTTTTTACCCCACCAGGACATCACACAAGCGATAAACACCCGATGACACAAAGTGCCACCATGCGGATGAGGATCACCGTGGAGAGGTCCCAGAAACCGCGTTCAGACATTTGGCCATAATGATGACCTGTCTATATTGCGGCCCCTGGCAAAAGCCAGAGTGGGGCTTCAAATAACAAAAAATAACGTCCTAAGAAGGACGAAAAGCAGTAATAGCAAGTGACAGGAGAGGGGTTTGTTGAAACAAATAAATCAAAACAGCCGAAATACTTGACAGCTTTCCATAATGGATTGTACACAAAATTCAGCGTAATTTCCGCTATAAATAAGCAGATTTAGTCGTAACCAAACGGTCACAAAGCGATTTCGAAATAATTTATCGAGGGGAGGTTGTAACCAGCCTGGCAGCTGTTACACCTCTTAATGTTCTAAATATATGAAAAGTTAGCGGATGTCCAAGAAACGCTAGTTTAGAAATACTTCTTCCTAAAGTCCTAGAGGTTAGACACGAATATATTGAATAAGTGGCCGTGGACCAAAACAGGTGATGGTCATTAAGAGGAGTCGAGTTAGTTGGTAGGGCAGCTAACTCTATAAAATACCTCAACATTCTACGACATGGTCATCGGCGGGTAAGAGGCGCCATAACCACTCCCCCTGCTGCCTTGCAGGGTAAGTCTCTTTAGACAAAGGCATT